TATATAGAAATATAATATGTACGCCCAGTATACGGATAACTGTCATTTATCGCTCTATATCTTGCAAATACATAAAAGAGAAGTTGATGAGTGTACTCGATGTAAATCAAGAAGGATCACGCACATAACATTCCAAAATTGCAAGTTTCAGTCAGGTGTTTCTATCTTATTGGGCTTCAGCCGCAAAGTATTTGGTTGCAGAAAACAACACATTCGCAAGACCTAACCGCTCATGTGTGGTTTCGGTCAGAAGACCTGGTATTCACGAGGCAACAGCTACCTGCGTGACATCCGGGAGCGATACGTGTGTTCGAACAAACTAGCCTTTTATTTTTTTTATTTAATGATTGCTCCAAATATCGTCACCCATGATTTATAAACATCGAAATCATTTTCACTATTTATTCTTCTGAATAAGATGCAGAATCTACCGGTAGTTACTTTCGAAAGAGATAACAATTAAGTTCTGTCAACACGTATTTATTCGAACTGGCTCTATTCTTCTATGTATTACCCCTTGAAGTATGAAGTAATTACCATATATAGTGTTCAACTACCTTCCAAGTTTTCTAGAAAAAATGTCTTATAATAATGAAAGTTTCAATCTCCCATGCACCTGATTGTATTTACAGCTTGTCCAATGCAGGAAGAGACTTGAGAATTCTCTCTCTCTCTTTCTCTCGCTCTTATAATCTTCTAATGAACGCACAAACCAGAATTCAGAAAGCTCTTCCTACATTTGACAAACTGTAGCTGCATCGACATATGAAATGGGATTTACATATGAAACAACTTCTCAAAAAATTAAGAGGGTTTCTTCCGAAATTTAGATATCTTAAAGGATTTATGGACATCGGACAATTAAAAATGATTTATTTTTCACTAATACAGTCACAACTTACATACGGAATTCTAGGATGGGGGGGTGTTAGTGATTGTTTTGCAGAAAACGTAAATGTGGTTCAGAAATGGATTCTTAAACTAATATTTGGCAAGACACGTAATTAAAGTAGTGATCTCTTCTATAAAGAAGCTAAAATCATGGATATCAGACAACTTTTCTATATGAAAATATTATTATTCATTAAAAATAAAAAAATGTCATTACAAGTTTATGAACATACTCATAATACACGAAGTAATTATTCTTTATTTTTACCCCGATGTGACATAACGATCGGACAACGAAGTGTCAATTACCTGGCACCTAGAATATACAAGCAAATACCTCATGAGATTCTGAATATTGACAAATTTAGAAAATTCAATTTTTTTTTAACTGAGTGGATTCTCAAGACGGAACGTAA